GCATTTTTCTATTGCCCTCACAAGCCTCCGAAGTGTCAGAATTAGCAGTCTGATCTGAATTTGGAGCTCACATCATTTCATTCCTCCCTTCATGAGGTAGATGTTCTGTCTGTGGATTAATTTCACTTCTTACTGCTCCACAATATCTCCAACCAATGCCCAGCAGCTGGCACATGGAACTCCAGCTCAGCAGTTCACCATTACTCTGTTGTCTACATCTAGTAGGCTCTTGTGCCCAAATTCGGATCCTGAGCTACTGACCAGCTCTTTCCTCCTCCTTTTCATGAAAACTGTGCCTGTTCCCCAAGGCAAAGAAATTCCAAAATAACCTTGCTTTCCACTGCCTTAATACTTTCCCTACAATGGACTGGCATCATGGTACAGGGAGTCAAACCCCTGCTGTGGTCACCTGCATACATATTACAGTTCCAATTCCAGGTGAAACAACTTGGTCTGCCATCCAGCTTCCTGCTGCTGCATCTTTAGAAGGCAGCAGATAATGGCTCAAGTGCTTGGGCCCCTGCCATCTGCACGGCAGACCCAGATGGATTTTCTAGCTCCTTACTTTGGTCTGGTCCAGTTCTGGGAATTAAGGGCATTTGGAGAGTAAACCAGTGGATGAAAGATGACTCTGTCTCTTTTTGTCTCTGTGTCTCTATCCCTTTCAAGCACTGGAAGAGACAAACTTACCTTGGAACCTCTTTGATTTGATAACAAAAGCCCTTCCTTGTAACTATTTACCTCCTTATTAAAGTTTATCTACTGTGGCTGCTTCCAATATACTTTCAGTTTCTTCCAAATCAGCAAGTAAGTAAAGTCAGTTTTGGCACTCAATCTTGTTTCTTGAAAGATAATATTAAATTTAAAGGGAAGAGTTTAGGAAGATGATGAAAATAGAAAGAAAGGAGAATGTAATGTTATGATGTCATTGGGGCTAATGCTGAGTCCACACATTGAGAAATAAACTTAAGTAAATAGTACAAAATCAAAGCATTCCTCCCAAGTGGTTAATAAGAAAGGACAAAGGAAATCATAATATAGCAACCATGCCGATAGGCCAACATCATAAAAACGCTGCTGTGCTTTCAAGAAGACATAGTACTAGGGCCTGGCTCAATAGCCTAGTGGATCTCCCAACAAAGAAAAGTCCAGGCCCAGACAGTTTCACTACAGAATTCTACAAAATATTCTGAACAGAACTAACCCCAATCCTCTACAAACTCTTCAAAACAATAGAAAAGGAAGCAACCCTTCCAAACTCATTGTATGAAGCCAACATTACCTTAATCCCAAAACCAGATAAAGAACCATCAGAGAAGGAAAACTACAGACCTATCTCTCTGATGAACATTGATGCTAAAATTCTCAACAAAATCATAGCCAATAGAATTCAAAAAATCATCAGACAGATCATTCATCCGGATCAAGTAGGATTCAATTAGTGCTATTTGTAACACTTAGAGACTGTCAGTGCTCAATCAGTTTGCCTCTTGTTCTTCATTCATAAGAAGACTACATCTCAGTCCACTTGTAGTTACAAAAGGTCTCGTAACTGCCCTTGAAACTGAACATGAAAAGAACCATGATTCCCTTCCAGTCAAAGCATTTGAGAGTTAGTTGGCCACCATCATCCTTTCTATTTTATTCAGCAGAAAACAGGAAAACAGCTTGGATCCCTGGGTCACTTTACAAGAGACCCTGCCAATTTATATCAAATTTAATTTGCATAATAAATTAAATGTAACTGCTCAATCACTCATATTTCAGGTTTTCCCCATAATTTAATGTATACTTTATCAATATAATACACAGCTACTATTTTTTCGTTGTTAGTCTTAATAAAGATTCAATTTCAAAGAAATTTATGCATATATTCTTGCTGTTCCCAAAGAGTCCAATAATACAAATAAATCACAACTCTCATTTCCTACTATGTTCCTCCAAAATGTAGTCCTCTTCAAAGGTACTCATGTTAAATCTTGCATCTAGCATCTTAAAATGTGTTCCAGGTTTTCTCTTACACGCATATACTAGCAAAATATACAAGTTGTTACCAAAAATTATCAACCTTATATATTGATCTGCCTCTCACCTTTGTCACTGAATAAAATGAAATCAGGATCTTTCTGGGGTGGGGGATGGTGGTATAGCACATTAAGGACACAACTGCAATACTACCATCCCATCCCATGCTACAGTGCTGGTGGTTGTCCTGGCTGTTCCATTTCTGCTCCAGCTCCCTGTGAATGTACCTGGAAAAGCAACATACAATGGCCCAAGTATCAGGGTCCCTAACCCCTACGTTGATGAAAAGCATCTGGAATTCTGTTCGAGTTCCCACTCCCACAAAAGAGAGGCTACCCTCAGAAAAGAGCTTCGTTCCTCCTCTCAGCCCTGAGGGGCCTTCTATAGGGCTGGTGGAGGTCAGGTTCCCTAACTCCTGCCGCTGACTTGTCAGGAGGGTGGAAGATCTGGTTTGACTAGGGTGGTTGACTAGGTCAGCAGAGTGGTTCAGGGAAGAATTGAAAACATGTCCAAAACTAAGCTAACAACATTAGCAAGTGAAGGCTGAAGGAACCCCCCTATTTTAGAAAAAAAAAAATAAGGGACAATAGAATCCCACTCCTTCTGTAAGCCCTGGGAAGCACTGGACAGAAACACCCTTTGGATTTTGATGATTCAAGAGTTTTCACCATCAGACAGCAAAGTTGGGGGGGTGCCTTCCAGCAGTGACAGCAGACCCTCATTAACGTCTGAAGGAACCCTCTACCTCAGACCAGAAAGGCCTGGCATAACATGGGGTTCTCTGACTTTAAAGGCCAATGATGAGTGTGCTAGATAACATACACTCCAAGTTTCACCTTTGGTGTCTCAGGAAAGTGAATCGAGTGGTGAGAGGAGGGCACGATTGAGTAATCATTGAGAGGAGGGCAGTGTTAAGTTAGCAGAAGGAGGGGCCCAAAGCCCTCAGAATGTCAGAGCCTATGGTCAGGGCCCTTTGTGAAGTGTGCCGGTATCCACGGTTACCGGGAGGCGGACTCCGCAGAGTCCCGCCCCTGACATGAGGGGCAGCCAACCCCAGGCGAAGAGTTTCAAGAAAAGTCCGCTATTGGACAAGTATTCCGGCCTTAGAGGAGGATTTGGGTCTCAGGCTGAGCAGATGAAGGAGTCCAGAGCTTGAAGAAGAGCCAAGGTAAGGCCTTTGAGTGGGATATGCGGGTGCTCCCAACCCCCACCCCGAAAGAGAAGTCCAGTCCCTACTGGTGAGGACGCAGGCAGGTCTCAGGAGGGAGTAGCCGACTCAGATCTTGTGAATTGCGTTACTACCCTCCCAGAAGGGTGAAGGGCTTTTGGTTGTGTGTGGAATTGGTTCACGGTCTTAAAATGGTATAATGTATGAAGCTTTCATGAAGGCTGAAGAGACCTCAATCTAAAATGTTAGGGGGGCCACGAATCTTTCGTGCAGGCTGAAGAGGCCTCGATCTAAAAAGTTAGGGGGAGCCAGAGATTTCTGACAGAACCTTAACAGAGACGGCCTGATAAAACATTCTCTGAATTCTGCTGCTGGGAATTCAGGGGTATGAAGGCATTGGACTTCACCGTCAGCTTCAGGCCAGGAGAAAAGATGCCCCAGACCCCATGGTACAAGAGTACCAAACGGGAGGATCCCTAGTTTCTGGGGAATCCTTCATGTTTAGACTGAGAGGGGCAGGCAAGGAGAAGCCTGCAAGTCTAGATCAACAAGGGCAGGCTACGGCAAGGTAGGGGCGGTGCAATGGCTTCTTTGGCTTATCTTCCCCCGCCCCATCCGGCAAGAGCGGACAATCCATAGGGGCACTGGTTCATGTCGCGGCGGCCCTAGTTCCTATCCAGCTCCCTGCTTGTGGCCTGGGAAGCAGTGGAGGACGGCCCAAAGCCTTGGGACCCTGCACCCGCGTGGGAGACTAGGAAGACGCTCTTGGCTCCTGGTCATAGATCAGCTCAGCTCTAGCCATTGTGGCCACTTGGGGGTGTGAACCAGCAGGTGGGAGATTTTTCTGCTTCTCTGTAAATCTCTTTCCAATAAAAAAAAAAAAAAAAAAGATGAATCCTTAAAAAAGAGAGAAAAGAAGAAAAAAAAAAAAGAATGTGATGCTTATCTTTGTTCCTCCCTCTTTCTTAAAAAAAAAAAAAAAAGAGGGCCAGGCACAGAGTCACAGCCGCAATGAACCCTGAGGGATTTATGTTGAGCTGAAATGTCTCAAACTTCCTCTTTTGGGATCTCAGGGAGGTGAAGGCCTCTCTCTGATGGGATAAGGCTCACATCAGCAGGAGCTGCAGTTTCAGGCCTTACCAGGTGTCATGGTAGAGGCTGTAAATGAAGAATCAGAACCCCCAGATACTGTGAGCTAAGCAGGGACTAAGGCTTGGCATTAAGGCACAACTTGTTTATCCACTGCCTGCAGCACTGGCATTCCATATGCATGTTGGCTGTAGTCTTGACTGGTCTGTTTCCAATTCGGCTCCCTGCTAAAGTACCTGGGAAAGCAGCAGATGATGACCCAAGTTCCTAGGGCCCTGCCACTATGTAGGTGACGTAGTTGGAGTTCTAGGCTTCTGGCTTCCACCCAGCCTCAGCCATTGCAGCCATTTGGGCAGTGAACCACAAAGTGGATGATCTCTCCCTCTCCCTCTCTCGCCATGCCTTTCAAATGAATCTTTTAAAAATAGAGTCTCTCAATACCCACCCAAATTTTGTCACGGGTGTCCCAGGGAAATGTGATGAGTTCCTCCATCAGGACAGAAGGGGTCCTGAAATGGAATGTCAATTTCAGGGCAGTACAGTAGAAGACAAGCAGGCCAGAGGACAGGACCCTGTGCATTCTTTGAGTAGTACATACAAGAAAACTTGCAGAAGAGCCATCAATTGAGCTAAAATGCTATTCCAATAGGCAATAGGCATTCACCATCTCCTTTTCTTTCTGCCAGGTCGCCTGCTCTTTTGTCTGCTACTGCTGAAAAAAACTCATCATGCCTAGGGGTCAGAAGAGTAAACTCCGTGCCCGGGAAAAACGCCGTCAGCTCCAAACAGATCCTGAAAATCTGGTGGGTGCACAAGCCCCTATATCAAAGGAATCTGAATCTTCTCCCTCCTCATCTCATTCCAAGGATGGGCCCCAGGATTCACTTACTGAGCCACGCAGCAATCTCCAAGATTCTAAGCCAGTCACATCCACCACGACTGCTGAAGCTGTTCCAGCCAAAGGATCAGATGAAGGCACCAGAAAACCAGGATCCACCCAAAGCCAGTCAGCCACAAACAGATTCCCCAATGGTCCTCTAGATGAGAGGATAATTATGCTAGTGCATTATCTGCTGTACAAGTATCAAATGAAACAGCCTATTTGGAAGGCAGAAATGCTGAAAAATATAATCCAAACATACAGAAGCCAATTCAATGAGATCCTGAGGAAAGCATCTGAGCACCTGGAGCTGATTTTTGGCCTTGACCTGAAGGAAGTGGATCCCAACAAGCACATCTATGTGCTTGTCGACAAATTGGAATCAAATTGTGATGGGAGGCTGAGTGATGACATAGGTGTCCCCAAGACTGGCCTGCTGATGACAATCTTGGGTGTGATCTTTACCAACAGCAATTGTGCCGCTGAAGAGAAAGTCTGGCAAGTGTTAAACATGATGGGGCTATATGAAAAGAGCGAGCACTTTGTCTTTGGGAATGTTAGGAAGCTCATCACCCAAGACTTCGTGGCAGATAAGTACCTGGAATATCGCCAGGTGCCTGATAGTGATCCTCCACGCTATGAGTTTCTGTGGGGTTCAAGGGCTCATGCTGAAACCAGCAAAATGAAAGTCCTTGAGTTTTTGTCTAAGATCCACGATACCGTGCCCAGTGCCTTCCCAGATTGGTATGAAGAGGCACTGAAAGATGAGGAAGAGCGAGCCCAAGCCCGAGCTGCAGCCAAGGCTCGCATTAGTGCCATGGCCAGTGCCCGTTCTGCAGCCATGTCTAAGGGCGCCTCTCATTCTCAATAAAGTCTGAAAGATTCTTCACTTTGTGATTGCGTAGAGTCATGTATAGTCTAAACAGTGGGAGGTTCAGGGTGGAGTGGGAGACAGCACAGCATAGGATATGTTTGTACTTTTGTTCTGTGTGGTAGCCTTGGACAACTTATAAAAGGTATTACTGTCTTTAATAAGCAGCTCCAGAATTCAAGTTCATGAATGACAGTGTCCAAAGTTGAGGGGGGGGGTTGGAGAGGGAAGCTCAACGGGCCTCCAGGGTCACTCCATCCTGGAGGTTAGGTTTTTTGACCCGCAGAGGTGCCTAATAGCCAGGCTGTGTGGCTGCCCCCAGAAGGGTCATTTATGCCCAGGTCTTAAGGGTTTTTATGCCCAGGTTAGGAATCACAGCTGAGGTACTTCCATAAATAAGTCCACAACACGTGTATATAAGTAGGGGGCTAACACCAAATTGGTTTGGACAGGAGAAAAAGAGTGAGAGAAGTGGGTCTGATAGAATCTGGGGGGGCAATGTGGGCTCACCCCTGTGGGACTGCAATCTCTACTGGCTTGCACAAAAACGGTGGATGGGATCAGGCATTGCTCGGGAGCTAAGGGGACATCCCAGCTATGTTGGGGTTCCCACTGGTGAGCACGAGACTAGGATTGAGGGCAGCAGGCGTGGCTGTAGATGGCTACAGACTGCACCAGCATGGGTGTGCACTGGGACTGGGGAACGACAGATCGGGCTTGACTCCAGCCCCTCTGCTACTCGTGAGAGCCAGCCTGGGTGTAGAACTGGCCAGACTAGGTCTTGACTCCCACTGAACCACGTGAAAGCTGTGTCTGGGCACAGACCAGCTATCACTGGGCTGCAACGCCCAACAACAAAACCAGAATGGGTGTGACTGGGTTGAGCAAGGCCACTGTTCTTGTCAGGACAGGAGGTGGACAAAGTCAGCCTGGGCCAACGGCCCACTGGTATGTGCAAGAACTGCTACCAGGAGGAGACTCAATGGAGGAGCTTGGGAAACTCCTCCACTGGGACACAGTCCCTGCAGGTGAGAGCAAGAAGCAAGGCAAGCAGCAGCCTAGACCAGGCCAGGTTACAGTACCTGCTAGCATACATGTGGGTCAGGTCTGGGGATAGACCAGTCTGAGCCAGCACATAATACACACTGGCAGAAATGAGAATCAGGACAGGGGGCAGGAGGAGCCAAATTGGGCAGTGACACCAGCCAGTTCACATTAGGACCAGGACAGTAATCAGACTGGGCTGGGATAGGCTGCAACACCCACCAGCAGGAGCTGGGACAGGGGCAGACCAGTCTAGGCCAGGCTGTGCAGTAAGATTGTAGATGCTGAGGTGAGGCAAGTCATGCCAGCCTTGGCCCAGCAGGGACTGGGTACATGAGTCCCAGGGGGATCTAGCAGGGCTCGGGTAGCTTGGCTTAGGTCCTGGGGCCCACCTGTGTGGTGGGGTCTGGGTTCCTGAGCTGCAGGGATGGAGGAACTGGTAGGGTTTGGGTCCCTTGGCCCAGATCCTGGGGCCCGCCTTCTAGGTGAGTGTTGGTTTTGTGAATCCCGGGGGTGGGGGATATGGTGGGACTTGGGTCTCTTGGCCTGGGTCCCAGGGCCCACCTACCAGGTGGGTATCAAGTTCATGAGCCCCAGGGATGGGGGATCCAGCAGAGTTTGGGTTGCCTCGTTTGGGTCCCGTGGCCCACCTGATAGGTGGTACCAGATTCCTGAGACCCAGGGGTGGAGGATTCCACGGGGCTCAGGTCACCTGACCCGAGTCCAGAGACCCGCCTTCTAGGTGGGTGTCAGATTTATGAGCCCCAGGGATGGGGGATTATCCGGGGCTTAGGTCACCTGGCCTAGGTCCTGGGGCCTACCTGTAAGGTGGGTGCCAGGTTGATTAGCCCCAGTGGTGGGGGATCCGGTGGGGCTTGTGTCTCCTGTCCCTGGTCCTGGGGTTCATCTAATAGGTGGATGTCAGGTTCATGAGCCCCAGGAGTGGGGGATCCGGATTGCCTGGCCTGGGTACTTGGACTTGCCTGCAAGAACATGTCCTACTTAATGAAAAAGGTGGAGCAGTGGACACAGGCCCTGTTGTAAAAGGAGACTATAGCAGTACATTTGGTGCTGCAGCAGAAGAAGGAGAACAGAACAAACTGGACAACTACCCCAAAGAAACAATGACAGCAAAAAATCTCAGTGAGAACCAATGGACATTGGGAGGGTGACAACCTAGGATAAGTGAAAACGGCAGTATTTCAGAACTGTCCAAACCACTTGGGCAGAACCCTCGGAATATGTACACATTGAGACTCTGGGTTGATGTGAGGTGGCGGTTGCTCATTCCTGGGTACTGGGAAATGTGGAAAGTCAAAAGTGGTTTCCCCCTTTGTCTCTCCCATTCCCCCAGGAACAACAAGAAGAAATAGCAAATTTGGAAGCAATGAATTCACCCAATTTTCCCTAAACCTCAATTCACATCCTGGCCAACCATGTAATCATTATTTAAAAAAATAATAAAATTTTAAAAATTAATAAAAAATTTAAAAGAAAGAAACAGAAAACAGGGCCCAGAGTGGTAGCCTGGTAGCTAATGTCCCTTGCATGCGCCGGGATCTCATATGGGCATCGATTCATGCCCTGGCTGCTCCACTCCCTTTCAGGTCCTTGCTGTGGCCTGGGAAAGCAGTCGAGAACGGCCCAAAGCCTTGGAACCCCGCACCCATGTGGGAGACCCGGAAGCTCCTGGCTCCTGGCTCGTGGGTTCATATTGGCTCAGCTCCGGCCATTGTGGGCTCTTTGGGAGTGAAACAGCAGATGGAAGATTTTTCTCTGTCTCTCCTCTCTATAAGCCTGACTTTCCAATAAAAATAATACAATAAATCTTTAAAGAGAGAGAGAAGAAAGGTAAAATAGGGCTAATTATTGCAACTTCCATTCCCCCTTTTCTGTGAAATTAACAGTTATCTATTGGATATGCTTAGGTTATGTAAAAATATAGGATTAATGCCTTTTGCATGCTAGTTAATTTATTTCCCAAATATTAATTGAGTGTTCTTTGGAAACATCTGTACTAAGTTATGGGAGGATATATGATTATACTATGTAAGAAAATCTACCCTAAGAGCTAACAGGTGAATCTTAGCGTGAGTAGGAGGGGAAGGCGTGTCTAAATAGAAGCACCTGCTGGGAATGCTTTGTGGCAAGGAGGTCCAGGGCCTCGGGAAACTGTGAGTCCTTCAACTGTGTGGCTGCAGCCATGTGGGGAGTGAACCAGCAGAGGAGAAGATTCATTTCTAATTCTGCCTCTGCAATGAATAAATCTTTCTAAAACTAGAACTTTGCAATTTTCTCCACTGCATATGATTCCTAGAAAACAGTGCAGAGATGAATTCCCTTACACTGCACTTTTCCTCTGTCCGTAGTCTAAGGTAGATCTTGAGTCTGTCTCCTCACGACTCTACGGTGTTTCTGAGGGAAGGAAAAGAAAAGTTCCATGCTCAACTGCCAGAAGCAGTCCTGCAGAAGGAAGGAGCGAGTGAGAGCCCAAACGACTTGGGCCTTTCGGAGGGCCTTGTTTGCCCAAGCTCCACATGCTTCTAGCCCTGGGATGGAGATCTGAGTCTTTCCTGGTCCCAACACACACGAGCTGTCCTGAGAGTTTCCTGCACTACAGTCTTCCCCTCTATGCCCTCAGCTGGAGCCTGCACCCATGCTCAACAGAAAAAGGAAACATTCTAGACTCACCTACTCTATCCCCACCATAAGAGGGCTCCAACCCCAGGTGGGTCCCATCTGTTACTGAGGCACCTGGCAACAACAGACCTTTCACTAATTGTTACCTCAGACCTTAAAAGTTACTTCAGCCCCCCAAGTGCCCCCGGAACATTCTCAATATTCTCTGATCTGTTAGCCGCTAGCCAAGGGAAATCCAACTCAGTACAAAATCTACTGCTATTAATCTCAGGGGGAAAAAATCTATTTCAGAAGTAGAAGAGAGGAGATAAGCAGATACATTTCAGAGAAAGGTAGTCTTAGTGTGGTGAACTTTTGAATTATTTTTGCCAGATTCATATGCTAATAAGCAAGTTTAACTTAAGTGATCATAAACCAAAGTCTCCCTGCTGTCTTTGAGGAGAAAAGACTGAGAAATTACTAGGAAACAACTATCTACGGATCTTGAAATCTTTTAAAAAAATTTCTAAAGATGTTTTTATTGGAAAGTCATAATTGTAAAGAGGAGAGACAGAAAGATCTTTCATCTGCTAGTTCACTCCCCCAAGTGGCCACAAGCAGAGTGCTGAGCTGATGCAAAGCCAGTAGCCAGGAACTCCTCCGGGTCTCCCACGTGGGTGCAGGGTCCCAAGGCTTTGGGCCATCCTCAACTGCTTTCCCAGGCCACAAGCAGGGAGCTGGGTGGGAAGTGGGGCACATGGGAAATAAACTGGCACCCACATGGGATCTGGCGCATGCAAGGCAAGGACTTCAGCCACTAGGCTACCATGCCGGGATGAGTTTGAATTCTTACCAACTCTGTAGGCTTTCCCAGCAGTCATAGTTTTCTATAATTTTTTGTCATAAATTACCACTGATTTAGTGATTTACACATTATTATTACTGCAGGGTATGCTATCTACATTTCCGCAAGTGTGAAGGATGGAATGATTCAGCTGGATTTATTATTGTGTTGCTCAAACCAAGCTTTGAGCTAGTACTCCCATTAAAGGAAGAACCTGGAAAAAAATCTTCTGAGAACATCAAGGTTCTTGGGAAAATGTAGCTGCTTGCAGTAATAACACTGAGGCCTGGTTTCTTTGCTGACTCTCAACTGTCATCATCTTTCAGAACATCTCTCCAGGCTCACACGCTTTGAATCTTCATCACACTTGGAACCTCTTTAATTTGTAAGACATCTCTTCTCAGCCTCCAGCCAGAAAAAAAAGTCTCTGCTTCTATGTTTCATCTTGTTAGGTTGGACTCTCCTGGATACTCCAGTAATGTATTTTGATCTG